TTCTAAGTCAATTAAAGCTAATTATCTCAGTTCATGCTTGATAGAGATTAAAATTCAGATTAAAGTCAAACTCAATAACTATTTTAATCACATATTTTATGAGATTCACAACTTTTCAATCACATATTTTATTCATTTTTATCAAAATGTACTAAAAATCTAATTTTAGGACGTGTTTGGCACCCATTTTTGGGAAATCATAAATTTTGGAATAGTGATTGATGGAAGAATGTGTGGTTAAAAAATAATGAAAAATTTTAGATTCGTGTGTAATATTATTTTATTTGGAGAATGTGTGGTTATAGTTAAGAAAGAATTATTTAAAAAAAAAAAAAATTAATCAGTGCCAAACACTCTCTTAATCTCTATCAAACGGGGCTTAAAATCATAGCAATACTAATTCAAGCACGATAGTCCTCTTGCGTTGGTGGCAATAGTTTTTGAATAATGTCACTTTGTCAAATGATTTGATATTCTAGATGACAGATGAAGGTGTGACAATAAATGAGTAGTGTAAAAATGGTCCTTTTTTTTTTAAATGGCCAATTGTAAAATGTCATTTGATAGTTTCTTTATAGTGCCAATAGCCCTGTCTGGTATCTCTCACATGCAAAGAGAGACTCCTTTTTGTGCAGTGATCACAGTGAACGCATGGCTAAAGTGAGTAGGGCTCAGAACTCCGAAAGAACAGAAATTGCAAAAAAGTAAAAGCAATCGTTCCTCCGTACTCACTAGCAATCACCGTTATGATCTGTAATTCTATCTTAAAAAGTCAACCTTATTAATAAGTAGTATTCCAAACTCTTATAAATTGATCTATGTTTTTATCTTTATTCGATATGAGATTTTATTCCTTAACATGCTCCTGCAAGATGGTGACTCGTTTGAGCAGATCAATCTTGAAATCCGCGTACTCAATTTTTTTGAATTTTAATCGGATCGAATTGCTCGTTAGAGTTTAATGAGCTCTGATATCATGTTAGAATTTGGAATTTTATTTTAAAATGTCAACTTTATTAAGAAAAGTAGTCAAAATTTTTATAAATTGATATATATTTTCATCTTTATTTTGTATTTTATCCCATAACAATCACATAGAATAATTCTACTATACACTGTCAACTGCCCTAAATAATCATCCATTTTAGCTGCAATCTTCGAACAGACAAATTCTCAATATTCAAAAAGGACATCGACCTGTCACGTCATTTCCAAGTCTTTTTTTCTTTATCTAGCCATTTTTCTCTCCATTAATCCATGATATTGGAGCTACACAAGAATATTGCAGGGGTGATATAGATACATTGAAGTGGATCCGAATCGATCGTCCACATACTCTAGTTTTTTGGGTGAATTTAAATGGAAATGTGTAATGACCTTTTTGATTTATTATTTCCGGTTTTTCTTTGAGTTTGATATTTGCGTGATTTTAGGCAAAAGTTGATTGAATAACTTTGTCTATTCTATGGAAGAATAGGTACATGAATGTATTACTACAGATATTCATGCTCGCCGCCGACTTCTAAATCTGTAGTAACTAAGAGCTGCATTTTGCTTATTAAATACCATGGGCACTTCATTTTTTTCTTTTTTCGGATTAAGAATTGAGGAGTTTGAGGCTACATTTATGATCTATCACTTGATCTCGTGGTTTTTCTGTAATGTTCTACTCGGTGACTTTTGTGGTAAATTTTACATTAACACCTAGATGAACATGAGAAAAGTTCTGGAAATGTAATTGGGTGAATTGATTTCCTTTCTAAATGTGACATCTGTAAACATGCATTTAGAATCTCATCCAAGCAATTCTTGAACTGGCATTCGGCAATGCTAATACGTGAGGAGCTTTCAGTGTATTTGTATTTTCTTTGATTTTATTTATTTTTTCAATTTGCTTGCTTAGCATGTGAGACCTTGAACTAACAAATTGTCCGGGATTATACTTGACTTGTGTTAGCTGTTCAAAGTTTTTTTGTTTTTTTCCCCTTCTTTGGTTGCAAAGTAACCTTTGGAGGAAGTGGCTGTCAGTTCAATTGATTGCTACTGAAGTATCTGCAGTTCCCAGCAATTTATCCTATTGGGGTTTAATTTTCTGGAATTTGTCACTGTGTTGTCATATGATCTAGTTAGCGGTAGATTTGATGAATTTAGGTGATTGAGAAGTGATTGAAAGCTGATAATTTCATTTTCCTTGGCAGTGCTGTCTAAGAAAGAGAAATACTTGTGATGATATACAGTGGTAGGAAATGGAAAGGGTTCCCGAATCGAAACCACTTCCCAGCCAGTTACCCTCTGAAGCTAAGGCGACAAGTACTCCGACCTCTTTGTTAAAAAAGGAGATTAAGATCCCACCAACATTACGGGATTCTTTCGCCCCTGCACGAGCATGGAAAGGAAAAGGCTCTTTGCAGGATGAAGACAAAATCATGCCTGATATTGCTTCGTTTGAACTCAGTGGAGATTCATTTGAAGAAATTGGTTCTACTTCATTCCATGGGGTGAGTCATCCCCCTGAACCTGTTGATATGGACCTGATGAGACCGGTCTATGTACCAATTGGACCGAGCAATGGTGACGTAAAATGTTTGGTTACGAGCCTGTCTATGAAGGGTCCTTTCATGGAAGATCTTTCAATCCAAGTTCCAAGTATCAAACCAAGTCCATCATTACTTTCACCTGCCCAGAGCTTAGTTGAAGAGCCTAATGATTTAGGGCCTATATCCTCTCCATTTTTGGTTCCCCGTCCATCAGAAAATACAGATGCAAGTCTTTTTGCAGATTCTGAGGAAAAAGAATGTATATGGGATGCTTCATTACCTCCAAGCGGCAATGTTAGTCCACACAGTAGCATTGATAGCGCCGGGGTTGTTACAGCTATGAGCATTGTTAATAGCTACACGAGCACATACAGGAGTGATGGGATAATGAGTGATGATGGAATGCTATGCGTGGATAGAAACTATGCGAGTACAAAAGGGAGCTTTCGAGGGGATTCTCTAGAGAGTACTAAAACTAGCATTAGTCGAGCAAGTTATAGCAGTGGTCTTAGTAATGATAGTAACTGGAGTAACATCACTGGCAGTGGAAATAAGCCTCACAAAGGAAATGATCCCAGATGGAAGGCTATACTCGCTATTCGATCACGTGAAGGTATATTAGGCATGAGCCATTTCAGGTTACTTAAAAGACTTGGCTGTGGAGACATTGGAAGTGTGTATCTGTCTGAGCTGAGTGGGACCCGGCGTTTCTTTGCTATGAAGGTGATGGATAAGGCATCCCTTGCTAGCCGGAATAAGTTGTCTAGGGCTCAAACAGAAAGAGAAATCCTGCAGCTGCTGGACCATCCATTCCTACCGACTTTGTACACTCATTTTGAGACAGACAGGTTTTCGTGCTTGGTCATGGAATATTGCCCAGGAGGCGATCTGCATACCCTGAGGCAGCGACAATCAGGGAAACATTTTTCAGAGTATGCTGCACGGTATGCACTTTGATTCGTCATTCTGTTTGATACCTAGAGAATGTATTAGTTTTTATTTACGAACACAAGTTCTACTTTTCGTCTTTTCCTGGGATTAATCCATGATTGCTAGCACATCTCTTGCAATCTTGTTTTACCATTTTAACTGCAATATGGCTGTGATTATTTTGATGCTTTCAGATGTGCTACCGCATATGAATTGATTTGTTTTACAAATAATTTTTACATAACCTATAGGGATGAAAAATGACAGGCAACTTTTACATCACCTATCTTATATAACTATCGTTAATTCATCATGTACTAAATTTCTTGGGTGTATGTGGCCAATAGATTGATTCTTTGCTAAAGTATACACTTCTTATAATAGGTATCT